TTTCCCTCATAGTTTCACTTGAGTGTGATCGTTCCCAATAATCACAGCCATGATCCAGAGCTTGAAGTGGCCCTTGGTTCAAGATCACCCTTATTGTGGTGAACCTGGTCTGGTCCTCTTTGTGGCGGGCATCCTGGGTAAGAGTGTCACCCATGAGCTGCAGAAAAAAGGTTATTTGTAGAAAGAGGTCATAGATCATATGGTGAGACTTGCTTACTCAGATATCTTGGTCTTCCTCATTGGTTTGCATACGGAGTTCTCCCAACGTCGCTTTGATCAGAAATTTTTTAGCTATTGAATCATCAGTTTCTGTAGAGCTGTCTGGATAAGGTATATGATCAATGCAACTTAGAATTTTGTCCATCCTCGCTCCTGAAAGGTAATTTATCTGAGTATAGAATTTTATGCCAGAATACTTGCAGTTTTCCCTCATCACTTTGAAAATGTTAATCTACTGTCTTCTTACATTTATCGCTGCCGATGAAATGTCTGCTGTTGGTCTAAATATCATTCCTTCAAAGGTAATGTTTATTTTGTAATTCTGATAAGTTTTAAAGTTTCCCCTACCTTTTCCTTGGTGTTCTGCTGTTTCACTACAACGAGCTTTGATGTAGATTTATTTTTACTCAACTTATTTAATAAGAGTAAAATTTTAATCAGAAAGATAGGGCTGTAGCTTCTGTCCTGTCTGGAAAATTCTCAGCTATTTTCTCTTTCAGAAGAGTTTCTTTTGAAACTCTTAGTATTATCTGGTGAAGCTTCTTGGCTTATCCGTCAGGTCTCTTACTTTTACTTTTTAAATTTTTTAATATAATTGTCTCTATATATTGCATTTGGGGGCATTCCTCTTCATTCTCTTCAAATTAACTATTTTCTTTCTTACTAATCAGGCTGGAGTATTATATCCACTGAGGTATATATTTTGTTGTCTACATTTTTCATTCTTAACATTTCTAAGTGCTTCTTTCACATGTTCACTTGTACCTGTTTCATTTCTGCTTGTTTTTCATTGGCAATTTATTAGAGTTCAAAAGATTTTATTCTACCACCTATCTCTTTCATGATCTTACAGTTATTTTAAAGTCTTTAGAATTGCTTTGTTATCTTAACCTTAACTGCAGTGATTTCATGCTGATTTTGTAGTGTGGCTTTTCTGGTGTGATTTTCTTCTTGTATTTTTGAGCTCTGTAGGTTCATCTTGAATAACAGATTTGTGTTTTTTTTCTTATTTCTCTTCACTCACTTCTATCTAGTAGTTTTGTGGCTTCTTTTACCAGGGCTCCCAGAGTCCCCAGTTCTGAGCCTGGATTTATAGATGCGTTTTGCAACTCACAGCCCTTGGTGACACTGGGGCTGTCACATATTCAGTCATGTATCTGGGGTCAGCTTGGCTCAGTTCCATGTCATGAGGTTGTGCCTAGGTCTTCCCAGATCCCAAGCCCCACAGCATCATATAAGCCATAGTCCCAGTCAGTGTTTGGCAGAAGTTCTGTTTAGCTGTCTTTCACCAGTCAGAAAGCTCTGCCTCAGTCCCCGATTTTAAGAAGGGAGCCTGGCTCTTGTCCTCTGCCTCAGGTGGGCACATTTATTCTTGGCTAAACCCAGGAGCAAACTCTGCTTTCCTTCCAGGCATTGATCTCACAAGGCTTTGGCTTCTGTCCAGGTCATTAATTATCTTGCTGTTGTTTTCCATTCTTCTAGCAAGGAAGGATTTCTTATTCTTTAGCCTGGCTGT